TTGCTTGCGATTTAGTAAATTACTAGGAATCCTGAGTGCTGAATGGTGCAACGATAGTAATTTATTAGATTGCAAGCGATCCAGCAGGAAAAATAGCATCGTCTGCAGCGGGCTTTAGTAAATTACTAGGAATCCTGAATGCTGAGTGGTGCAATGATAGTAATTTACTAAATCGCAAGCAATCCAGCAGGAAAAATAGCATCGTCTGCAGCGGGCTTAATTTACTAAATCGCAAGCAATCCAGCAGGAAAAATAGCATCGTCTGCAGCGGGCTTAAGACCGTGCTCCAATCAAATTCACCAAGTTTGCAACAGACTACGTTTCCACCGAGGTGGAACCAAGTTCCTAGCATCGTGGACACAGGCCCTTATGGAATAGCTGCAAGTTGATTGGCCACACGTTTCTCGAAACTAAAGCCTAGTGCAAACTGCACGCAGCAAGCGGCAAGCGTCGAGCAGCAGCCAATCAACGAAGAGATATTTTCTACGCCACTGCTGACGCTTCCGCAAAATTCAGCAGTGTTGGATCCTCGCTGCTTGACGCTTGCTGCTTGCTGCGTGTAGTCTGTGGCAGGCTATACGCTGTTCCCCCTCAACAACCAATAGCGTCATTTCCTTTCGACCGCGGTGAAAACGCGGCCTGCGAGCGCGACGGACAACGGGAACAGCTACGTGCGCGCGCGACCTAATGTCACGCACGCACGCATACGCGCGCGCGGCTGCGTGTGTGTATGTACTTGTCGTGCGAACGTGTGCGAGCACTTGGGTGTCGGGAGGTGCGGAGGTAAAAAGCTGGTGGAGCCGCCGAGGAGGCCGCCCGATGGATTCGCCCTGCTCGCCGTGTTTACGTCCGTCGCTCGTCCGCCCCTCGACGTCTGCGCTGCTCTAGGTTCACGCCCGCGCTCTCTCTCTCCCCCAGTCGTCGCGTTACCATCCGTGTTTCTAACCTAACATTCGCCCTCACCGCACGCGCGCGAGAGAGAGAGAGAGAGATGAGTGCCATGCTACTCTGATAGAGGCGTCACGTCGCCGCCGACACAGCATCAACGCCACCCGCGGTCCTCCCCGTCCCCGTCGCATCCACAGGGGACCGTCGTCGTCGTCGTCGTCGTCGTCGTCGTCGATCGACCGTGAGAGGCTGACGACCGGGAACGGCGCCCGTCCTAAGTATAGACCCCTCTCCTCTCACGCAGCTTCTCTTAGCTTGTCACTTGTGTCGCACGCAAGTCTGTCACGGGTCCGCGTTGCGTTGCTCGCGCGGACACGCGGGGTGTGGCCGTCGCTGCCGCGTCGTAGTCGCCGTCGTCGTCGTCGTCGTCTCGTCGACCGCGCCGTTGTCGTCCGATCGCGGTATTTTAGACTATATCGGGCCGCGGATGCGTCGTGGCCGCACGTCCGCGGCGCGAGGGCCTCGAGGTTAGGTTGAGTCCTCGCGGCGGCGGCGGCGATTATCGGTCGATTGATTCGCTCCCGCGAGTCCCGCGTCTACTCTTTTCCTCGACAGCCCCGCGAGGAGGCTTGAAACGTGTGCCGAGAGACAACGCGCAACGATTTGCCCGCCGGTCGCGCTAACCGCTGACTCTTGTGTTGTCCAGGTGCAGTTACTATACCTACAAATTCAACACTACGTATAGTAATGTCTGTCCCTCCTTCGTCCTCCAGCAGTATATCTGACAATAATAAGCTAGGCGGCGCCAGTCCTAGTCCGATCGAGGGTATCGAGGGAGTCCCGGGACCGAGTTCCCTGGACCCTATGCAATCGGTGTTGCCACAAGACGAGGAATCCGAGGATTATGGAGACGACGAGGAGGAGGGCGACGAAGAAAGTAGCGAGGGCGAGAGCGAGGTGAGTCCCGGCGTGGATTGTGTACCTTCAATCTCTTTGGAGCAACCGGCAATTTGGCCTCGCCTTTGTCTCGGACGAGACGAATCCGATTTCGATTTGTCACTAAATCTCACTGCGCGTATCCCTCTGATTTACTTTCGCTTTGCCGTGCTCCCAGATCAGCGACAGCGGATTGTTCTGCGACGCTGAATGTACAGCGGAAGGGGAGAGCAACAATTGTCAGTCACCCGTGTCGCAGTCTCAAGCGGTTCTCTCTGAACGGGTTCAGAGTCCAGTATCGCATAATTGTGTGCCATCGGACGCTGTCCAGCCTCAGAGGAAGCGAAAGAGCGAAACCGAGTGCTGTCTGCCGTGTAAAAAACTTAATCCGGAGGAAAAGTCGCATACAATGTGAGCGTCGCGCTGACCCGTCGCGCGAGATCGCAGTTGCGCATGGATTTTAATGCTTTCCTTCTGCTTCAGGGCTGCGAGAAAGCTAGACGATAAGGGTAAACACGTGAGATGTGTCATTCCTACCAAGGACAATCCTCCGCCGGAATTGAGTAGCTGGCTTTTACAATTTCAGGTCGTTTACCTGAACTTACCTAAGTAGCTTCGACATCTCCAATAAATATTATAGTAGGCTGACGGCAGAGAACAATCCGTAAGCGCTTAAGACCGTCTCAGTCATAGACGTGAGGCAAGGCAGAGAAAAGCCCAAGTCGTATACAAGAGACTTTCACGACTTGAGGTTTTCTCTGCCTTGCCTTACGTCTATGACTAACAACTTCACAGATTGTTCTCTGTCGTCAGCCTAAAGCTAGCACTATGCGTGATTCGCCAGCCAAGCGGTTTTTGGCGAAAATAATGGTTTTTTTTTACTAATATTGAAATCTGACTAATTGTAGACTCATGGTACGAGTCCTGTAATAACGGGTAAACGTTAAGAGTTGTCCAAGTTAACACGAACGAAACGATGAATAACAAATTACGAATGATAAACTGCGAACGACTGATTGCGCATAGCGTGACGCTAGCTTAACAAAGAATTCACATTGAAGTGGAGAGAGTTCCCTTTCTTCTTGAAAGTCAATGGGAAACTGTACTCGTTGCAGAGATGGTCAAACGCGGAAAGGATGCTGGCGATAGACGAGCTGATAGAGAGATGCGAGCCCACGCAGGTGCGCCACATGATGCAGGTGATAGAGCCGCAGTTTCAGCGGGACTTCATATCGCTGCTGCCGCGAGAGCTGGCGCTGTCGGTACTGGCCTTCCTGGAGCCGAAGGATCTCCTGAGAGCGGCGCAGACCTGCCGGAGCTGGCGGTTCCTAGCCGACGACAATCTCCTCTGGAAAGAGAAGTGCAAGGCGGCCGGGATAGAGGATCTGAAGGACCTGCCGCCGCCGAAGCGAAAGAACTGCCGGAGCGGCAGCCATAATTCGTCGCCGTGGAAGCAGGCCTACATGCGGCAGCACAACATCAAGATGAACTGGAGAACGAAGCCGATCCGCACGCCGAAGGTGCTCAAGGGTCACGACGACCATGTTATCACGTGTCTCCAATTCTCCGGCAACCGGATAGTTAGTGGTTCCGACGACAATACTCTTAAAGTATGGTCCGCCGTCACGGGCAAGGTAAGGTCAATCGCAAACGTACGAGGATACGGACGAGGGGGGGAAGACGAGATGTATTTTCCATGTTTCTCTTCTCCATGTTTCAGTGCTTACGAACACTGGTCGGGCACACCGGGGGCGTGTGGTCCTCGCAGATGTCCGGCACAATTGTTATCAGTGGTAGCACGGACCGTACTCTGAAAGTGTGGAACGCGGAGACCGGCCAGTGCATTCATACGCTATACGGTCACACGTCGACGGTTAGGTGTATGCATTTGCACGGCAACAAGGTCGTCAGTGGTAGCAGAGACGCGACGCTGCGAGTGTGGCAGGTGGACACGGGGGAGTGCTTGCATGTGCTCGTGGGGCATCTAGCGGCGGTCAGATGTGTGCAATATGACGGAAAGTTGGTGGTCAGTGGTGCCTACGACTATATGGTCAAAGTTTGGAATCCGGAACGTGAGGAGTGCCTTCATACCTTACAAGGACATACTAACCGCGTTTATTCCCTCCAGGTAAGTGGGCAGCCGGGTATGTTCGTTTACTTTTAGGTCTCGCTTCTTATCTCTCTGCCAGCATTGACGAGGTGTCCGTTTGCCGTTTCTCTCTCCCCCCCTCGTTAGTTCGACGGTGTGCACGTTGTTAGCGGATCACTGGACACGAGTATAAGAGTGTGGGAGGTAGAAACAGGTGCTTGTAGACATACTCTGATGGGCCACCAATCTCTGACCTCGGGGATGGAGCTGCGCAATAATATCTTAGTGTCGGGCAACGCTGATTCCACCGTTAAAGTATGGGACATTGTTAGCGGTCACTGCCTTCAAACTCTCTCCGGTCCGAACAAGCATCAATCAGCGGTCACTTGCCTTCAGTTCAATAGCCACTTTGTGATTACGTCCTCCGACGACGGTACGGTAAAACTCTGGGACGTTAAGACTGGTTTGTATACACTTCTTTCCATTTCAATTTACCTGGCCGTTGCGTCGCCTATGAAACGCGCGTCGAGCCGCCAAAATAGAAAAACAACTTGTGTCGTGTTTGCAGGTGATTTCATTAGGAATCTAGTTGCTCTGGAAAGTGGGGGTAGCGGCGGTGTTGTGTGGAGGATTCGAGCGAGTGATACGAAACTAGTGTGCGCAGTAGGTAGTCGTAACGGTACCGAGGAGACGAAACTGCTTGTCCTCGATTTCGACGTTGAGGTAAAATAGTGAGCTCCACCCACGTGGACACCTAATCGCCCCCCCCCCCCTTTGTACGACTTGTGTACATATTTTCAATTAAGTAGTCTAAAAAGAAAACAAACTAAATCCACGCTGTACAATGATTTATGTATTACATGGTGTGATTGTGATAAGACTGTGTACGTGCCGTAAAAATTCGGGCAAGGTTTTTACGCGGGGCGGTGGAGCGGGCGGGGGTGGGGAGGGGAGGGGAACGAGAGCGGACCGTCTCCAGGTGGATTAAAGTGCCCGTCGAGAAATTACAGTTATATTATATATATACGTTTTGTCGGAGCGCAAGCGCGTTGTTGTGGTGTACAAATGTAAGATTTATAAGACTCGTAAACGGGAGGGGTGGGGAGGGGGGGAGGAGGAAAGAAATTTGGAGCTTATCAGTGTACTTCTGAATTTTCGCTGTTATTACGATTCAGTGGAATCGACGATGATGCAAAAGTAGCAAACCATCCCTTAACGAGAGATTCATTGTGAGTGTAACAAGGTTTGTTATGTGGGCATTTAGGAGCATTTGTCAACGGTGGCGGACGAAAACGAGGCGACTGAGACGTACTGAGACTGCCGAGGCGAAATGACATTAATCGAAGAATCTCATACCTCCTGGGGGCAAACGAGAAAAAAAACTGTCGACGACAATTCCGACGCGCCGTCGCACACACACACACACACTCGGATCGTACAGAATCTTTTTACCGAAAACTCCCGAACGTTCGCGCGATCTCTCAAACTGATTTTGTCAGACCGTTCAGCTTCGATATCTCCCGATCGTGTTACTTCGTGAACCTTAACTTGCCTGTACAAGCATCGATCTGGTTAAGAACAAATATTTTTTATAAACGTTTACAAGCCAATATTTTCCTATGATTAACGTTTATTGAAGGAGCAGCGAGGTTTCTCGGCCACCGAGGCAAAACGAACAGGAATCCGGTTAGTCCCAGTCTACAATAGAGATTTCAACCCTAAGTCTTAAGAAATTGACTAATCACAGTCGCGTATTCCACTCATTCTTGACCGTGATTGGTCCATTTCTTAAGGGGGCATAGGACTCTTTCGGCTGTAAAATGTATGTCTTTTTCATGATTATTTTTGGAAAAGATATATAAGCTATAAAAATCGGGTTTTTAATAAATAAATATACATCTTTTTGACTATTATTTACAATTTTATATTTTAAAATTTATTGGAAAATTCTCTGTCAACTGTCTCTCGCTTTAGACCTTGCACGGCATGCAGCGTTTTGCGGTACCAGAAATATCTCCGAGTTGGATTATCTGAGACAAAAAATTCAAGAAAGACCTTAAAGTATACTAAAAATTGTAGTCCCTATCGGATGGAATTTTAAAATTTTTTATTTTTAACAAAATGGCGGACTTTTAAACGTAAAACATCGATTTTCGGCAACATTTCTTACTTTCTTTCTGGAAAAAAAAATATAAAAAATCAAAGAATCGAAAAAAGCATCCGATAGGGACTAGAGAATTTTATAAGCTTTCATTAAAAAAAAACTAAGTAAATCGGTTGATCCGTCCTTGAGTTATCCATGGTACCGATTTTGAAAGTGCAGTTTCGAGAAAATCGCGTTTAAAGTTTTGCAACAAGGCTACAGACAGCTGTGCACAAAGCCGTTTAAAGTGCTGTAACTTCCAAACTTTTGAATTTCAAAAAACGGCTTTGGGGTAACATTCTTAAGACATTAAGGGGATGCTGGAGTGATTCTGCACTTTTGCACCTTTCTAACCTAAAAACTGTCAGTTCGCGGAAACATTTGTGTAATATACAAATTAAATGGCTTACGTGTACAGATCGAAAGCAGCTTGCTATTCCGGCCAAATGAAAGAACAATATGGCATCACTGAAACTAAGTTTGCAAGTCTAATAAAAAATAATAGTGAGCAACACACATACTACATGTACTGTATGTATGTGTTGCTCACTATTATT